GAAAAATGAATTGAAAGCCTCAACAACAAACTAGAATCTTGACTCATATCTCAATCATGTACTGAAAATAACAAAAGTGCTCTTAAAAACTCTACTTTGCACCTCAGTCTCCATGCCTGTAAAGTGGAGTGGGGCAAGAGAGATCCTTCTAGGGTTGTCTTTGTATGTTTGCACCTTTTTTTGCCTTTCCCTTCTGCAGAGCTTAAATATTTGAGAGGGCAAAGTTTTAATCAACCAATGCGTGCATGCATGTTTCTGAGAGTGATGGTAGCTAAAGGCTGTGGGTTTCATAGAAAAACCACAGGGTATTATGGCCTAATGCATGGCTGCTTATATTAGCACTGAACTGTTTCTACTACATCTTGTGCAAATTAACCCCATCCCTTCACCTTCTAGGCAGAGAGGCCGGCTTTGCATTCACTTTTTACCCTTCCCCCGTGCTGTGCTTCCATTCTCTGAAAAAGCAAATAAACAGTCACTGAGATCCTGCCTCAGGTTTCCAGGACACAGGAGGATCCCCAGGTCAGGAAACTCATGGACATAGTTCCCAGAGTGCTGATTGTGTCGATTAGAAAAGACCATGGAGCAGCAAGGGGTACTGCCTAGGGCAGGGTCTGACAATCTCCTGACTATGTGTCAGTCCTGATGAGTTCAAGGGAGAAGGAACCAGGGAGGGATATGTTCAAATCGTACATGCACACCAAGAAGCCCGGCTGCAGTCTTATAGATTTACACATGGGCCTCACAGTGACAAATGCTAATAGCAGTACCAGACAGAAGGAAAACAAAATCCAGACAACACAATGTGGTATGTTAGGTGTTTTCATCGAAACTAGAGCTGCCAAACCTTATCATGCCAAGGCCCACATGACAGCATTTCTCACAGCTTAGTATCCAATGGGTATTCTAACCCTCAGCCAGAAGCAATTATCTCGAGGCCACCAGCCCTGGATTTCGGGGGGGGGGGGGCTTTTCTGGCTCCGTGAGGGCTGAGGGGGGAAACACCTCACTGTTTGTATCCTAATGTGCACCACAGTGTTCTATGGATGGGTGTAAGTTCTGAGCACCCTATTCCTAAATTTCTACAAGGAAATTTTTAGAGTGTAGATGAGAAAGAGAAACCGTTGCAACATTTGGCTTCAGTTCCTGCCACTCTGACTTAAGGTTTCATTTCTGCATTTCCCACTGGTCTTGCTCATGGAAGACCTTCCTGTAAACGGGGCAGTGGGAGGAGTGGGATGAAGAGGCAGAGGTCAAATGGTGGGGTGAACAGGCATGAGCTAAAGTTGGGAAAACTTACAGTGACCAACAGCTTCTATTTGAAATGGACTGAGGGATTTCCCAGGAGGTGTGACTTCTAATGCTGAATCCAGACAACTTTTAGGCAGGCTAGTCTGGGTGGTGACACTAGGAGCCCAGCATGGTGACACGGGAAAAAGTGATAAGTACCACGCCTTCTCTCTCCTCAGCTCCTCTTTCTCAACTGTTAGAAAAAAGTAACTATCCATCTCCTGTCTCAAACAGAAAACTCCAGGCAAAGCCTAGAGTCTCTGGGACCAGAATAAGTGAGTAGAAAGGTGGCTGCCCAAAACACCCCAGAGATGTGCCTGTGGCATCCCCCAGGCCGAGCGAAGCGGACAACCACCGCAGCATCTCACAATCGGAGCCCCACAACAGCTGAGCACGCTCAGTTCTGCATCCCATAGAGAATCCCAGTAACAACACGGAGAACACAGGTGCCCTGAGATGCATAAAGACCTACTTTCCACCGTGATGGATCAGTTTGTATTATTCAAAGAGGTGGTAGAGAAGGAAATAGGAAATGAAGAGGCAGGTAGCTGGGAAGGGAATAATTAATCACTCTCTCTGCCCAGGCTGAAACAGGATTGACCTTAGTGTCAGACCACACAGTGGGGGAAATGACCAACTCCTCCATGTCCCAGGTCTCCAGGGAACCTCACGTTTAATAGAGGGATGTGTGAAGGGTGTGGAAAGGAGCACCACGGCTCCACCCTTGGAAGCATTTTCAAGCCTGGATCTGTACAAGTGTCTACACTGCTACTTTCCAAAACAAGTCAACCACTGAAATTATTCTTCTAGCATCAAGTGTAACTACAAAACAGGGGATGAATGAATGGTTAGAACATTTAAGTAGTGTGTTTTCTTCATTTGTTCAGTAATTATTGTAGCACTTTCTAAGGCTAAGTTCTAGCACTTTCTAATGATAGGTTCTAGCAATACCCTGATATAAAAATGGCCATAAATCCTTGCTTAGTGTATACTAAGTTGATCTTCTGTATATGAAGGTAATTGAAAATGAAACTTGATGAAGGGCAGGATGGGAGAGGGAGTGGGAGAGGGGAGGGCCGTGGGAGGGAGAGAGGTTGGGGTGGGGGGAGCCACAACAATACCAAAGTTGCACTTTGTAAATTCACATTTATTAAATAAAAAAAGAAGAAGAAGAAAAAGAATATTAAAAAAAATGGCCATTGACCCCAAAGATGCTCTTGGTTTCACTGGGAAGCTGATACAGCCAGGTAACACATCCCATCCTTGCACCTCTGGGGAGTCTTTGAGTCATGAGAGGAGCCAGGAAGTGCTAGCAAGGGGCAGAGAAGATTCTTAGAGAATGGGAGCAACAGCAGGGAAATTCCTTAGCTGAGCTGCCAGGAGGACAAAACAAAATGTTTCTGAATCCAATCAAGCCACGAAGAGGGTGTGAAGAAATTTTAGGATGTCACTAGAATAAAGTGATTTTAGGTTTGCTACATTGCTCAGGAGAGTTGGTAATGACCATCGTCACCTGTTTATAATAAGATTTTGATCTTTTCCCATCAAATTTCTGGAACAAATTGATAAGAATTATGCACTGTTATACTTTTAATGATTCTGTGACTTTCTAAAATTTTGCTTTATATGTGTGAAGCTGAACATCTTTTCTTTTTTTTGTTTTTGTTTTTTTTCTTTTTTTTTCTTTTTTTATTTAATAAATGTGAATTTACAAAGTGCAACTTTTGTATTGTTGTGGCTCCCCCACCAACCTCCCTCCCTCCTGCTGCCCTCCTCTCTCCCACTCCCTCTCCCATACCGCCCTTCATCGAGTTTCATTTTCAATCACCTTCATATACAGAAGGTCAACTTAGTATATACTAAGCAAGGATTTCAACAGGCTGCACTCACACAACCACACAAGGTATAGGGCATTGTTCGACTAGTAGTGTTGTCTTTAAGTTTCATAGTAAAACACATTAAGGACAGAGATCCTACGTGGGGAGCATGTACCCAGTGACTCCCGTTGTTGATTTAACAATTGGCACTCTTATTTATGACATCAGCAATCACCCGAGACTCTTGCTATGAGCTGTCTAGGCTATGGAAGCCCCTTGAGTTCACTGACTCTGAGTTTGTTTAGTCAAGGCCATATCACAGTGGAGGTTCCTTCCTCCCTTCAGAGAAAGGCGCCTCCCTCCTTGAACATCTTTTCATTTGATTATTGTTTATAGTCCTTGCCCATTCTCATGATGAACTATGATTGGTTTTGATTTATATTTCTTGAACTTTTTATTTAGTGAAGCATTGAGTCTTTATGATGTAAATTAAAATATATTATCTCAACAAATAATAAATAAATCACTAAATCGGAAAAAGAAATGAGAGATGGCAGCTGCTTGCTGAGAAGTACCAGGCCCATATTGAATCCCACTTCTGTGTCCAATTCTCCCAAATTATGAGTGTCCACTGGGCTGAAAGCTCTTCAAAACTTAAAAAGTATAAAGAGGAATACAACCAAAAATAAGTAGCAAACAAAATTCCCCTGGAGGAGAAAAAAATGGAAAAGAATAATGTCACCTTCTTAGAGCATTTCCTTTAAAAGACTTGCATGTAACTTCTTTTTCTGACCATTTCACAAGTAAAGCTTTTGCCAGTTGGACTACCAGGCTTGGTTTTCTCTAGCACCTGGGATCTGTCTCTTTGAAATGTAAATATGGAGAGAGAGCAGCCCTCCACCTGCCAGTCTCTGAGGGAAATAGGAGCCTAACTTAGGAGCCTCATTCATAGGAGCCTAACTTGGGCCCTTCCTTAGGCAAGGCTCTCCGAGCTGCAAACCTTCCTCCTGTGATAAGGCTGGGAGTTCACTTTTCCTCTGGGTAAAGGCACTTAGTTGCATACTTGTTCACCCTGAGAATTTAGAGGGAAGTCCACATGACAAACGGTGCCTTCAAGTCCTCTCACTTGAGGACTACTTACGGTGTATGTTGAGAACACGTACGCACGGATTGGTTGTATCTGCTGAGCTATGTGCCAAGGTGAGATTTCTCTCCATCTTTGCAGTCTTTCCCTGGTGCCTATAACGCACCTGCCATTCTGTTTGAATGCTTATTCAATAATAAAATTGTTTCCTCTCTCGTCTACCTTCCAGGAGAGGCTCTCCAGGTTGTCATGTGATTGCTTTAAATTCTGTTTCCCATCAAATCTTCAACAATCGTCATGATGGGGGCTCTGAGCTTCACTTCAAATGCAGAAAAGACCGTGGGGACTTTAGTATGTGACCCACCTCTGCCTAGGCTCATTCTGTTCCTGAGCTCCTAATTGTTTACGTTCAGTGCTGCAGCCTTAAGTGTGCAACCGGATGGGAAACTGAGGCGCTGTCACCCACTTCTAACACCCACCCATGTAAGCCGGCCATCAACTCCACAATGTTCCCCATGGCTGGTTCTGTCACATGACCCTGAAGGGGCAGCCAGCACTGATGTCCAGCCCGGATTCAGGCTCTCAGAGAGGCTCGGCTGGGGGCCAGCAGTGGCTTCCATGCCCGGTTAGCAGGAACATTAAAACCAGGGGCTGCAAGAAGGGGCCCAGGGCGCCAGGGGAGCAGGTGCTTCCGTGATGGGTGGTCACAAGGCGGCTTTTCTGTACCTGGGACAAGGGGACAGGTTCTGTCATTCCCGTCGTGACCGCTTCCTCCCAATACTGCGTACTTTAAACAGTCATTGAAAGGAAATAGGAGGGGGCAAGCTGGTCTGGGGCAGCTTTCCGACAGGAAGCGACCAGTAACGGAGGCAGCAGGGCCGTGCGCTCTGGGGCTTGCGGGGCCCTGTTCTCAGCTGGTTCCCAGACGCCCCCGTGGCTCCAGGTCTGCGGGGAGGGGGAGCTGCGGAGCGCCCTCCGTCGACCCGCGTCTTCCTTTCTGCTGCTGAGCCGCTCCTCCAGAAGTGCACCTGCTCAGCTCCCCCGCCCCCTCCCCCGCCCTCGCGGACCTGGCGGCGTCTCCGTGCCCCTTCGCCTTCCAGAGCGCCCCCTGAGTGCAGGACAGACCTGATGCCGCTGCCGCCGGTAAGGAGAACCCGGGTGTGCTCACTGGGACTCTGGGGTGGGAAGGACCACGGCTGTTAGGAGCCGCTGATTCTCGTAGACCCTGTCTCAGGCTCCCATTCTGCGCGGCCCCAGGTCCGTAAAACAGCAGTAATGGAGCCTCAGGGACAAGGGCAGCTGGGCGAGTACACTCAGTGACACACAGCGTTGAAACCCCTCGCCCTGCATCCACAGCCGCGCGTCTTCTCCATCTCCTTCCTATTAGCTGTCAGGATCCTCATAAAACTCTCAGAGAATAGAACCAGACGAACCTGTCACCCGTCTGACAAATGAGGAACTTGAACCTCCCAGAAGGCCATCGGCAAAGCCAGAGAATTCCTCCCAATTTTCCCTCCTAAGTGCTCATAACCCCCCACCCCGACCCCAGCATCAACTCCCAGAGAAGCCCGGAAGTGGCTCCTTAGGGCTCCACAGGGCAAATGAGGATCTTTATTTTCCCATCCTCATAAGCCTCACATTCCATACATGCGCCTTGTCCGATGACCTTGATCTGTAAACCACCCCCAATTCTCCCCCTCCTTCCAATGACTGCTGTAGGAGGGTGCTCCTACTTATGGCATGCAAATGACCCCTTAGTCAGCTAAACCTTATGCCAGGGACTGGTCATTGAATCACAGTAACTATCCGTTAAGGATGGAATTTTTTCAATTTTTTACAAGAACATTTCTACATATGTATAGGCTGCATTGTGACATTTTGATGTAAGATACAATGTGTACTGATCAAATCAGGATAATCAGGTTTTCCTTCTTTGACTTTATGGTTGGGACCTTGGCGTCCCTTCCTTCTATTTGTTCACACAGTTGTTCATAGAACATATGTAGACTACCCTGCTATGCTGTGTAATACGAGGAAAATGTGGTCTTCATACCTGGAAATAGAGGCACAGGGGCAGATTGTGAAGGAAATTCTTAGAAAATAACAACAATTTCATTGTTCCGAAAATAGCATGAGATACCCTGCTTTTCTGATGAAATAAGGCATCATCACAATAACGTCAGGTTCCTATACTTTTTAAACCAAGATGCACCTGCTCATTTGCTTCATCCTCCTTCTTCAGCTGGATCCTCCCACCGCCCCGTCAGGTGTTGCTGCTATCTTGCTTGTGCACTATGTCCCCTGGTCTTGTTTGGTAGAATTTTCCCTTTGAAGAAGAAATATACCTCCATTCTCAATTCCCCTACTTTGGTCTGCTCTGAAGTCAACTTGTGCCACATTCCCTCCGGTCTCAGTGTGTCACTCAGTCTCTTCCTAGCATGTGTTCAGTTCTTTTAATGTCTTGTCTTTGACTCATTGCAGCATGTTCATCAGAATCCTTCCTCACTCACTGCTGGACATTTGGTTATTTTTTAAAATCTGCTAAACATTCTGTTTCTCAGGCCAGCATGGTGGTGCCATAGGTTAACCACCGCCTGTGACACTGGCATCCCATATTTGAGTGTCAGTTCGAGTCCCATCTATTCTGCTTCCAACCCAGCTCCCTGCTAATGACCTGGGAAAACAGCAGAAGATAGTTCAAGTGCTTGGGCCCCTGTGCCCCTTGTGGGATAACCAGATGGAGTTCTGAGCTCCTGGCTTTGTTTTGGACAAACCCCAGTCATTGCAACCATTTGGAGAGTGAACCAGCAGATGAGATCTCTCTCTCTTGCTCGCTCGCTCACTCACTCTCGCTCTCTCTCACTCTCTTCTTCTCTCCCTCTCCCTCTCGCCTCCCTCCCTCTGTGTGTGTGTGCATGTGTGTGTGTGCTGGTAGTCTGCTTTCCAAATAAATAAAATAAGTCTTTAAAGAAAAACCCAATCTATTCCCCTGTGGGACATCTGCCACCCCTTGCAGTCTGATCCACTCAAAAGTGGATTCAGGAGAACTCAGCTCCCTGCACCTGACTGATGTAACTGACTCTGGCTGGCCCTTGTGACAACTGTGTTGCTCCATGCGGGTCACGTGGAGAAACAAGGCACGTAAATGCACCGGATTTCCTTGAACTGAAGTATTTCTGTACACAGCAACTTTCACCCCTGCCCCTGAAGTTTTATCTGTGAGTAATTTTTTAAATGCACTCTGGGTTTTGCAATACAGTTATTGGTGTGGGTTTTAGGCCAGGCTTCCAGCACAGGAGGGCAGTGCTGGGTGTGGTGTTCCAGAGGCTTGTACCCCTTATGCTGAACAATCCTAGAAAAGGAAACCTTTGGGGAAGTGTGTGGCGTTGAGCAGCTTACTTTCCTAATATTTTAATAGGAATTTTAATTGCATCTTGATCACATCACTGGGAACTGAGGAGAACAATTAAAACATTTGGCATGAAAGAACTTTGGAAATTATAAATGGCCACATGGAGGATGACTGTGGTGACAAAGACTGTGGTGACACCATTGGCATCATTGTCTTTACCACATCTACATGTTGATTTCAAACCTCAAAAAACGTCAACTAAAATAGAAAATATACCTAGAATTTGGACAGTTTTAGAAAAAGTTAAGATATAATTTATTAGATGAAGAGAATGCCTTCCTCTGGACACAGGGAAAGGTAAGAGAATAGGGAGAGAGGGAAATGGGGTGGGGAGGAAGGGAAGGTGGGAGGAACAGGCAAGGAAGAAGAGGGAGGGGCTGGCACTGTGGCACAGAGGGCTAAAACCCAGGCCTGCAGTGCTGGCATCCCATGTGAGCACCGGTTAGAGTCCCGGCTACTCCGCTTCCGATCCAGCTTTCTGCTATGGCCTGGGAAAGCAGTGGAAGATGGCCCAAGTCATTAGGCCCCTGCACTTGTGTGGGAGACCTGGAATAAGCTCCTGGCTCTTGGCTTCGGATCAGCTCAGCTCTGGCCATTGCGGTCATTTGGGGGAGTGAACCAGCGAATGGAAAACCAATCTCTCCCCCCACCATGTAACTCTGACTTTCAAATAAATAAATAAATCTTTAAAACATAAAAGGAGAGGGGAGGAAATGGGAGAGGAGAGGAGATGACAAGAGAGGACGAGAAGGAAGAAGCTACTGATACAACTTGATAATGTCAAAAGGGGTGATTTTCCCTAAACAGCACTAAGAAAATTCACTGAATGCATAGAAAAATGTACAAAAGATAGCAATAACAGATGCAACCTAAATAGCAAATGAGCTACAAAACTGTTTTGAATTCATTGGTAATCAGGAAAGCAAGTTTAAATCCAATGACAACATCCTTAAATATATCCACAGAGTGACCATAAATTCTAAGAGTTACAGTCACCAAGTACCTGTGAAGAAGATGTTGGGGGAATTCTCATATACAGGTGGTACAATCATGAGTTAGCATAATCCCCTTGGAGTCCCATCTGGCAATACTTGGTCATATACATCTGGAGTATAAATGTGCACATGTGCACAATGAGAAATATTGGTGGATCATTTTTACAGTAGGTAGGAAGCAATTAGCAATTCACATGTCTGTTAATAAATTGGATAAAATGTTACAAAAACAATGAAGCTTACATAAAGTTTCAAATACAAACAGTACTACATAGTGTGTATAGATACATAGGTATACTGGAGAAGAAATACACGAAACAAGTGGTTATAAAAACCTCAGATACTGGTTGCCTTAAAGGGCAGAGGAAGGAAGAGAATGAAGGTGATTGGGATTAGAAAAATGTCACCAATATGGGTATGGGCAATGTTTTAATTTTTTGACCAAGCAGAATGATTGCAGTAAAAATGTCAAAAATGCTTATACTTGTTCATTGCAAATGATATTTTTATTATCCTTTGAATTTTCCCACTTAAAGTTTGTTTCATAACAACGGCATCCGCAAACAGGAATAAATAAAGCACAATGTAGGTGTTCATCTTAATGTAGTTGAATATCACAGTCTCATCTTTTCTCTTAAGTATTTATTTATTTGAAAAACAAAAAAGAGAGACAGACATAAACAGAGAGAGATCTTTCATCTGCTGATTCACTCCCCAAATGCCCACAACATCCAGGGCCGGACTAATCCAAAGCCAGGATCCCAGAAATCAGTACAGTCTCCCGAGTGGCAGAGACCTGAATATCTGAGCCATCGTCCCCTGCCTCCCAGGATGCCCAGTAGCAGAAGGCTGGAATGGAGAGTGGAGCCAGGACTCGCACAGGCACTCTGATAGGGGATGGGGGCGTCTTCACTGCTGCACCAGACACTCTCCCTATCTTACCTTTTGTCCTGCGTGCTTACCAAGAAGAGCAGCACAGTAATGGGCCTCACTTGAATGCCATATTTACACCAGTGCCTGTGCCAACTTCTGAGTAACTCTGTTGGTACACAAAAAGGTCATCGTTGGGAGATCAGGACCTCCAAGCCAGCCAGGAAAGACGTGATTCAAAACTGAGCAGGAAATGAGTTTATCCTGCAGGGGTCCAGAGCGTTGCCTCTCTCTTCAGTCATGGCCCCACCTTCTCCGCACCACTGCTCAGGATGGGAGAGTGGCCATGCTCTCTCCTCTTCCACTGCTTCCCTCTACATCAGTCCTCATCCCCAATCCCCAAATCCCTCCCCGTGGAAAGTGTATTGTGTATTTCCCTTTGTCACAAGAATACCCATCTAACACCAAAGTTACTGGACTGGAAATTCCCAGTTTTTCAAACAAACCACTGTTATTTACAGCAAGACTGTTTTTTTCTGAATCTGGCAAATTCTCCTACCTTGATCCCAAAGGAGTGGGGGAAGAATGCCCCACCCTTCGTTCCACAGAGGCGTGCTTTCTTCATTTCCTGTCTTTCAGGTTGTGGGGAGCGGGGGTGGGATACTCAACTGATTTGCTTCAAAACATTTCCTGCTTTGCTGCAAGCTGATGAAAAATAGAGCAACAGTACATTGTCTTAGCATACTCTAGCATAGCCTGATGTGCTTACAGTTATTTAAATAAAATAGAAGATGGGAAAGTAGCAACGGAAATAGCTCATCAAGGACCCTTATTCTTCAGTATCTGACTTGAGTCGTTCTCAGACCCTATCAATTCCCACATGAACATTTGCTTCTTATTCCTTTCCTATTTTTATTCCAGAATAGAATGGCAGGTTTTCAGAAAAGCTGTTATGGAACTATGGCTGAAGGTAAGAGAGTCCTCAAGAGTTCCAAACACCTACAGACAGTCACTGCCCCCTATCCCTCACCTCAAACACTGACATAAACCATTATTTTAAACTGAAGAGGAGAAACTATCATTAGTCTTTCACTTTCCCAGGCATGTGCCTCCCCTACCACCACCATCACCACCATCACCACCATCATCATCATCATCCTCTCCATTTCACTCTCCCTGTCTCTTACACACACACACACAATGCTCACTCCTGCACACTATCTATGGTAAATGTGGAAATGAAATGGAACTCAAGGTTGGAGGGTCCAGAACCAAACAACATGATTGTCTTTCCTTCCTTTAACTCTCAGCTAAAAAATTAAAACTTCCCTCTAGAGATTTAGTAATTGTGTTTGCTACGAAACATCCAAGAATACTTAAGGGAAGGAAACACCAACAGAGAACACAAGGCATAAAATGTATATTTTAAGAGTCTAAAAATACTTGAAATCTATCTGGGCTCCTAAGAATTCTAGAACTTTTCAGGCTCTTGGTTCCCAACTCTGGCTCCACATCACCTTCTCCAATACTACTGTTCCTAAAATTTTCTGTGCTTCAATCAAACACATGATTTTTCCAACACACATGCATCTGGTAGCTCCTCATCAGCCTTTCCCCAGCCACACAGCCTAGAATCAACCCCAGACTTTCTCCTCACACTCACTGTGATCCTAAAACATCCCAAGTCCAGGCATCCTCATGCTGCATCCAAAAAACACAAAGCCAACTGGCCAGGTGGGTGGGGGGTGGGGAGTGGGGGGCTCATGCTAGGGCTGCCAACCGAGACACCCTTTACCCTGAAGGTTCAAATGAACGGTCTGGGCTCCTCAAGTATGCATGGGACTTTGTGGGTGAAAGACAGGGGATCATGGTTTCTCATTTGAAACTGCTCATCCCCTGCCTCCTTTTAATCTCATGTATGTAACAAAAAGTTCTGCGTGCAGCTGGCTAAAGGGTCATTCAGGGGAAAGCACAGAAAACAACTTTCTTCAGAATAACTATGGTTGCCAAGAACCACACGAAGTTCTTGGGCCATCTCCTTACTGTGGCAGTTTTGACCCCCGGCTATGGGTCCAAGCGTGGGCTGCCAACAGGTGCTTCCTACGACCCAAGAACCATCCAAACTCGTAGGCAGACTTTGGGCATATTTATATATGCCCATTCCCTGGGGAAGAGGCCCATGGTTTCTGTGGGATATTTATCTCAATTCACAAACTTAAAGTCTTAAGAAATTAACTTAGCAAGATACAAAAACTTTTCTCCTAGGTGAAGTGGAAGATAACTGGGTTGCTACATCCTCCTCTCTGAGGATCATCCTGGTGGGCAAAACAGGCAGTGGGAAAAGTGCCACAGGGAACAGCATCCTCTGCCAGCCAGTGTTTGAGTCCAGGCTGGCGGCCCGGTCCGTGACCAGGAGATGCCAGCGCGAGATGGGAACGTGGAACGGGAGGAGCCTCCTTGTCGTCGACACGCCCCCCATCTTTGAGTCCAAGGCCCAGACCCAAGAGGTGTACGAGGAGATCGGACACTGCTACCTGCTGTCTGCCCCAGGGCCCCACGTGCTGCTCCTGGTGACCCAGCTGGGACGCTTCACAGACCAGGACAGCATGGCAGTGAGGAGGCTGAAGGAGGTGTTTGGGGCAGACGCCATGAGGCACGTGGTCATGCTCTTCACCCACAGGGAGGACTTGGAGGGCCAGTCCCTGGATCAGTATGTCACCAACACGGACAACCTGGGCCTGAAGGGCGCGGTCCTGGAGTGCGGGAGGCGATTCTGCGCCTTCAACAACAGGGCCTCTGGGGAGGAGCAGCAGAGGCAGCTGGCGGAGCTCATGGCTGTGATCGCGGGGCTGGAGCGGGAGCTCGGGGGCTCCTTCCACAGCAACGACCTCTTCTTTCAGGCGCATGTGCTGCAGCAAGGTGGACAAGGGCCCATGGAAGGAGACTACAGGCGCTTCCGGGACAAGGTGAAGCTGCAGGTGGAAAGGCAGAGGCAGGAGCTGAGAGAGCGTGAGAGCAGCTGTGTGCTCCAGGCCCTGCGCAGAGTCAAGAACTGGGTGACTTCCCACCTCATCCTCTGTGCCTTTCTCACTATATGCGCTTTGATTTTTCTTGCCATTTTGATTAGCCATTTTGATTAGCGTGTGAGTTACTGGTGGATGCTGAGCGTTTTCAGGCGATGTCTGCCGTCAGCTTTGTTTTTCCTGAATGAGCATCTCTGTGTGTCCCCTTTGTACCCAGTTTCACCCTCAGTTTCTCTTCCTTGTATCAGACACGTCATCCATGTTTAATTCAAATGCTTTTAGGTAAATAAAATCCCTAGAAAAATATTATGATTTTTGTTTTTTAAAAAATGGTGAGGCTGAATAATAAAGCCATGGAATGTGTGGGGACTTTTTTTAGAAAGCTTTTGCTTAATTAACAGAGATTTTTTGCATACAGTTTTAGGAATACAGCGGTTCTTCCCCCGTATCCACATTCCCACCCCCAATCCCGTCCCACCTCCTACTCCCTCTCCCATCCCATTCTTCATTAAGGTTTGTTTTTAATTAGCTTTATATGCAGAAGACCAACTCTATACTAAGTAAAGATTTCCACAATTTGCACTGTGTGGAGACTCTGAAGTAGGACGGCGCCCGAAGGTCTCACCCTCAGCCCGACTTTCTCCCCTCCAGAAGCCACCAGCGAAAATGTATCACTTGAAAAGCATGGACTGCCTCATAAAACCTGATGAATGGTGAATTTTGCATTTCTTATCATTTTTGTATGTGAAGATGAACCATACTTCTTTCTCTGATTTCTTCAACCGGGTTGGGCTACATGGTTCTGACTGCCACATCCAGCGTGGAGCTGATTCCAAACATATGCAGGAATGTATGCATCAGCCCCTCAAGCCCTGGGAACCCCAAGAAGCTCTGAGCTGTCAGGCCCAGGAGCAGCTGCTCAGGGCAGTGTTTTCAAAACTGTTCCAACCAAGTCGGTCTGTCGCCTCCCCAGCTTGATTTAGTCCAGCCCCACAGACATTTGTTATGTGAGTCTGAGTGTCAGTGTCCATGCTAGGCACAGGAATAGGAGATAAACACCAGGTTTCTGCTCCACAAGGGTGACCGTGCAGTGAGGGATGCAGGCCTACAGAGATGGAGTGTGAGGGAGGGTTTCTCTTACAGAAGTGACATCAGAGAAAAGAGAACACAGCTCACTTGACAGAGGCCTCTTGGACAGGGTGATGCTTGCCATGAGTGCAAGAGTGTGCCTGCTCCACCAGGTCAAAGGAAGGGGTTGGGGACAAGCAGGTGCAGGGAGGGAGGAGCTTGGCAGAGGCAGGGCCTGTGTCTCACCCTCAAGGGCTTGATCATTGGATGATTACCTCCTAAATGTCAGAATATCACTGGAGGGTGCAGCGCTATAGCACAGTGGGCTAAGCCTCTGCCCGCAGCGCCAGCATCCCATATGGGCACCTGTTCAAGTCCTGGCTTCTCCTCTTCTGATCAGCTCTCTGCTATGGCCTGGGAAAGCAGTAGAAGATGGCTCAATAGGCACTGTGGCATAGAGGGTAAAGCTGCCACCTGCAGTGCTGGCATCCCATATGGGCACTGGTTCAAGTCCCAGCTGCTCCACTTCCAATATAACTCTCTGCTATGGCCTGGGAAAGCAGTAGAAGATGGCCCACATCCTTGGGCCCCTGCATTCACTTGGGAAGACTCAGAGGAAGCTCCTGACTTTGGATCAGCACAGTGCTGGCCATTGCAGTCAATTCTGGATTGAGCCAGTGGATGGAAGACTCTCTCTCTCTTTGCCTCTCCTTCTCTCTCTGTGTTAACTCTGACTTTCAAATAAATAAATAATAAAAAAGAAGAAGATGACCCAAGTACTTGGGCCCCTGCACCCGCATGGGAGACCTGAAAGAAGCTCCTGGCTCCAGGCTTCAGAGATGCCCAGCTCTAGCCGTTGCGGCCATTTGGGGAGTGAACCAGCAGGTGGAAGACCTTTCTCTCTATCTCTCCCTCTCTCTGTCTGTGACTCAACCTCTCAAATAAATAAATCTTTAAAAAAAAAAACCAGAAAGTCCCTGGAGCCAATTTTGAGCAGGTGGGTATATCACAGAAAGATTGTGTGGCTATAAGGTGGTAGGTGGTTGATTATGTAAATGCAAGCCTAGGACAGGGATAGCATTCAGAGGAAAAAATCTGCATTGGAGACCAGCACCTGTGCTATCTCAGCAGCAAGGGGGATTAAGTGGAGGGGCTGCATGTGGGAGACAATGAGGAGGAAGGTGAGCACACAGTAGTCACTGACTGCAATGCTGGAGAGGACACCAGGGTGGCAGTGGGTTGAGCAGAGAATCTGCAGTGCAACGCTGGCCTGAAGACCTCCAGGGCCTCTGCGCAGCAGACAAGGGGTGGTCACGTCCTCCCTTCAGAGAAGGCCTCCGGCCAGGTGTAGACTTGAGTGCTTACTGCAGCCTCCCTCCAGGCATGTGGCTGGCTCAAGCCAGGTCTCCCAGTCCAGACACTTGCCCCGTGAGTAGTGCTGCCCAGGCCCTGGCTGATGTCCCTGCTTGCTGGCTTCCAGGGCAGTAGGGCCCGAGAGGTAACCCAAAGCCATTGTACCATATGAGTGTTCACTTCTTGTAGAGGATTCAAATGTGAGCTCTGTTTGTCTTGTGCCTCCTGCCACAAAGGTGAAGAGAACACAGAGAAAGCCCTACCTGGAATGACATTTCCTTCACCCTCTTCTAGGCCCATTCATCAGAAGGAGCCAACCAAAAGCATTTGGCTCTGTTCTGAGTTCAGTAAATGTCTACTAAGGAGCAGGCACTTTAGTAGTAGAGAATGTTTTTATGAATTCCAGAAACAAGAGGACACAAATCTATTTGCTCATTTTGTATGCCTTCCTTAAAGGAAGCCTGGGAACAGGGAAGTTCTAACAAATTTAAAGGATGAAAATGGATATGAAGAACTCGTCCCTAGCTTAAATGGAGGTAAAACTCAAGTAGCTAAGCAGTTAGGACATTTACTGGCTGATAGAATTGGAATGCCAGAGATAGGGTAGCCTTCAGGGCTGAGTGTTTCAGGGCTCAGGATCATTTTACCCCTAATCTGCTTTAAAGTGAGTCTTCCTCAGGATCGCTAGTCATCAGGGAAATGCAAATAAAGGCCACAATGAGGGGCCAGCAGTGTGGTGTCGTAGCCTAGGCCTGCGTCTGCAGTGTCGGCATCCCAAATAGGTGCCAGTTCGAGTCCCAGATGTTCCACTTCCCATCGAGTTCCCTGATGATGGCCTAGGAAAGCAGTGGAAGATGGTCCAAGTGCTCGGGCCCCTGCACCCACATGGTAGACCTGGAAGAAGCTCCTGGCTCCTGAATTCGGACCGGCCCAGCTGCAGCCACTGCAGCCATTTGGGGAGTGACCTGCGGATCGAAGACCTCTCTCTGTCTCTCCCTCTGTCTGTAACGCTGCTTCTCAAGTAAATAAATAAATCTCTTTTAAGAAACACACATTAACAATTTGACACTCTTGTTTATGGCATCAGCAATCTCCCCAGGCTCTAGTCATGAGTTTCCAAGGCTATGGAAGCCTTTTGAGTTTGCCGATTTTGATCTTATCCAGACAGGGTCATAGTCAAAGTGGAAGTTCTCTCCTCACTTCAGAGAAAGGTACCTCCTTCCTTGATGGCCCTGATCTTTCCACTGGGATCTCACTCGCAGAGATCTTTCATTTAGGTTTGTTGTTGTTGTTGTTTGTTTGCTTGCTTGTTTTTGCCAGAGTGTCTTGGCTTTCCATGCCTAAAATACTCTCATGGGCTCTTCAGCCAGATCCAACTGCCTTAAGGGCTGATTCTGAGGCCAGAGTGCTATTTAGGACATCTGCCATTCTATGAGTCTGCTGTGTATCCCACTTCCCATGTTGGATCGTTCTCTCCCTTTTTTATTCTATCAGTTAGTATTAGCAGACACTAGTGTGTGATCCCTTTGACTCTTAGACCTATCAGTGTAATCGATTAATGTGTTGTCCAATGTGAAGTAATGCTATAACAAGTACTGAAACAGTATTTTACACTTTGTGTTTCTGTGTGGGTGCAAACTGATGAAATCTTTACTTAATATATACTAAATCGATCTCCTGTATATAAAAATAATTGAAAATGAATCTTGATGTGAATGGAATGGGAGAGGGAGCGGAGATGGGAGGGGTGCGAGTGGGAGGGAAGTTATCGGGGGGGGAAAGCCATTGCAATCCATAAACTGTACTTTGGAAATTTATATTTACTAAATAAAAGTTTTAAAAAAAAAGAAACACACAATGAGGTTTCACCTCACCCCAGTTAGAATGTCTAGAATCTGAAAATCCAGTAACAATAAATGCTGGCAATGTTGTTGAGGGAAAGATACCCTAATAACTGATTATGGGAATGTAAACTAGTATAACCATTATGGAAGACAGTATAAAGATTCCTCAGAAATCTGAAAATAGATCTATCATATGACCACATGACCCAGCCATCGCACTACTGGGAATTTAACTAAGGGAAATGAAATCAGACTATGAAAGAGTTATCTGTACACCCATGTTTATTGCAGCTCAGTTAACAACAGCTAAGATATGAAATCAACCCAGATATCCATCAACTGATGACTGAATAAAGAAAATATGGTATATATACACTATGAAATACTAATCAGCCATAAAAAGAGAGAAATTCTTCCTTTTGCAACAAAATAGATTTAACTGGAAACATTATGCTTAGTGAAATAAGCCAGTCCCCAAAAGACAAATGTTATATGTTTCTCTGATATTATAGAACACAAAAATGTATAGAAATTAAACAGAAGTCTTGTAATTTTTTTAGCCCTTGTTTATACCCCTGAGGAAGTATGGTCTTCCTACATTTATTTATTTAATACTATGACTAGTGGTGAATTAATCCCATGATTATAGGGTGGATTAAAAGTATCTCTTTGCAAAAATTAGGGGAAAAAAGAGAAAAGAAGGAAGGAGGTGGATTGAGGGAAGGAGAGGGGAATGGAGGGAAATATGGTTATCTTATTAGAAATGTACATATGAAATACATGAAATCTGTAGTAAAGAAAATTTTAAAGTACAATAAACCCAAAAATACTGTCAACTAGGGCTAGAGCTCTTGGAAAATAAATAAGTAAGTAAAGTGAGCCTACAACCTCAGATGGGTAGCAAAGTGGCTGCTGAAGACCCACACATTGCACCTAGATCCATCATTGCCCAGAGAAAGAGGTGAGTGGGTCTATCTGATTCTGTGGTTTGCCCCAGGACAGAAGAAACTTTGCAACCTTCTACAGCATACTTGGAGGCACTTCTCATTGGTTGACATGGGTTTCCAGGCCCATTTCTGAAAGAGTCACTGGCAAAGAGAAGGGGGTGTATTTAGGCCTGAAAGCAGGTACTATCAGGGAGACAGAGAAGGAGATGTGGTGCAGACAGCAAGCAGTGTCTTCAAAGTTGATCTGATTCTGAATTAGCGGCACTTGGAACAGTGAACTCACCAGGTGATACTTTAGAAAATGCTACAGCACAAAGAATTAAGCAAGATGGAAGATGATGAGGATAATAAGAAGAACAAACAGGCTGCACCAAACACACACAGCACAGATCTCATAATTCAGAATCACCCAGTTCTTGACGCTGAGCAGGGCCTGGAGCACACAGTTGCTCTCACGCTCTCTCAGCTCCTGCCTCTGCCTTTCCACCGGCAGCTTCACCTTGTCCCGGAAGCACCTGTAGTCTCCTTCCATGGGCCCTTGTCCACCTTGCTGCAGCACCTGCGCCTGAAAGAAGAGGTCGTTGCTGTGGAAGGAGCCCCCGAGCTCCCGCTCCAGCCCCGCGATCACAGCCATGAGCTCCGCCAGCTGCCTCTGCTGCTCCTCCCCAGAGGCCCTGTTGTTGAAGGCGCAGAATCGCCTCCCGCACTCCAGGACCGCGCCCTTCAGGCCGAGGTTGTCCGTGTTGGTGACATACTGATCCAGGGACTGGCCCTCCAAGTCCTCCCTGTGGGTGAAGAGCATGACCACGTGCCTCATGGCGTCTGCCCCAAACACCTCCTTCAGCCTCCTCACTGCCATGCTGTCCTGGTCTGTGAAGCGTCCCAGCTGGGTCACCAGGAGCAGCACGTGGGGCCCTGGGACAGACAGCAGGTAGCAGCGTCTGATCTCCTCGTACACCTCTTGGGTCTGGGCCTTGGACTCAAAGATGGGGGGCGTGTCGACGACAAGGAGGCTCCTCCCGTTCCACGTGCCCATCTCGCGCTGGCATCTCCTGGTCACGGACCGGGCCTCCAGCCTGGACTCAAACACTGGCTGGCAGAGGATGCTGTTCCCTGTGGCACTTTTCCCACTGCCTGTTTTGCCCACCAGGATGATCCTCAAAGGTGGTGACCCTGGAGTGCAGCTGTCATCTCTGTCTATGAGGATGCAAGGAAAACTCATCAGTCACCTGTGCCTTTATGAGCAGAGAAAAAGACCCAGAGGGGCCACAGCCTGGACAAATCTGGATTCCAGACTCTGCTCCCATCACTGACAACCATGTGTCTGGAATCCGAGGACCTGGCACAGGATTTGTGGAACAGAGGAACCTACTGAACTGAGTCCTGGGTTCCTTTTCTTCTGGAACTTCTGAGGGTTTTTTTTTTAATAAGATTCATTTTATTTATTTGAAAGACAGTGTTACAGAGAGAAGTAGAGCCAGAGAGAGAGAAATAGAGATCTTTCATCTGAAGGTTCACTCCCCAGATGAGTGAACAACAGCCAGAGCTGAGCTTATCTGAAGCCAGGAGCAGGGTGCAGGGGCCCAAGGACTTGGGCCATCTTCCAGAGCTTTCCCAGGCCATAGCAGAGAGCTGGATTGAAAGTGGAGCAGCCAGGACTCAACCGGCACCCATGTGGGTACCAGTGCTGCAGGCTGGGGCTTTGACCCTCTGTACCACAGTGCCAGCCCCAGAACTTCTTGGTTTTTTTAATCCTTCTAGAACCTTCCCTCCATTCAGTACCTCCCCGAAGACCTAGAACCCAAACACTCCACAGGAAAGTATTTCCGTTGTATTTTTTTCCCCATACTCTCTGCTTCTCCCATCCTTACCTGGTCTCTGTTTTACAAGATGACAGGGTTTTGTCTGGACAACTTGCCCTCCCAAAGGAAAACAGAGCAGCAAAATACCTAGCAAGCTCCAGTTCCTGGGGGAAGAGATGAGCTTGCTTTGTCCCCGGGTGAATACAGTCTTGTGCCTTTCACTCTCAGGTGGGAAGCCTGCCGCCCGTGCTGACTCCATGGCCCTTGCCCAGTGTGAAGACCCCCAGCGAGTGCAGCTTCCTTACCTGGGGGGAAGGCACCTTCTCCATTCTTCAGAGGCTCTTCCATTTTGTTCTAGAGGGGACCGCATACAAAGATTGCTGACACCGGAGCTGTATGTAATATCAGACAAGGAACACTACATTTCATACACGAGGCAGTTGAGGAAATAACCTGATGGGGTCCCAGATGATTGAATGGATGAACTGAGACTAAAACCCAGGTCTGCAGACCTGCTGCTCTTCTGAGCAGTAGACCAAGCTGAAGAACATGCAGATGGCCCCAAAATGCAAGCACAAGCACGTGTTCCCTTGAGCTGTCATTGACTCCCGGGAAGCAGTGAAACGTTTGTCACCCCCATCCCCAGAAGACCACGCAGGTCCCCTGGTCAATTTCCTGCTGAACTTGCAGTCCTCTGGGGCTCTCATCTGCCTTTAGGGTCTCAGTGCTGGTATCCAAACAAAAGTTGGCCTAGCCACATAGCCCCCTGCAGAACAAGTTCCTCCTTAAATTCCCATGGTGACGGTGGTACCCCAGGGGTGGGGGTGGCCAATGACCCTGCTTTGCCCAGGGCTGAGACGATGCAGGAGGATGCCACGGGTCCAGGCTGGGGGGAGGGATAGTCAGTAGACAGAGGGAAGAGTTGGCTCATCAGGCTTAGTTAGCTGGGTATGTAATGGAAGACAGTCAGTGCTGCCGTGTTCTTAGCTCACACGGCTTTGGACGAGAAGCTGCCTCAGGAGCACCTGTCATCAACCCTAGGCACCCTCCTTCATCACGTCCCTTTTTCTCGATCCTTTGTTTCCTTCTTACCTCGCACTTCCTAGGCTCAGGCAGGTGGTGCATCCAAGCCCCACAGAGGAATGACTTCATGGGTTCCAGTACCAGGACCACCTGCACAACCCTTTCCATGGCTACATCAGGACCTCGCTGTGTGCAGAGCTTCAGGGTGTTGCCTTCAATAGGCTTAAGGAGTTGACGCTAGGGAATGAGTCTCTAACTGTGGAATCTTAGGGCTTGTGACAGATCAACCCAAAAACTACTTTTGGGAACGAGTGGATTCCCCTAAAGCACCTTAGGATTATGCTACATAAGATGCTATTTAGCTCCCCAGTATGGGAAGTTAGCCAGTAATTACCTTGGCTGGAAAAATTAATAGCTAAATAATGTTGGAATCATTTTAAGTACTAAATTGCATAACTGAGCTTCCCCAATAATTTCGTAGTAACTCACTCTGAGAGTAATTTTAGTGCCAGAAGAGAGAAACCAGCAAGTTACTGCCTCCTGGACTCTCTATTCTTTAGTTGGGTTCCATAGAAACCAGTCTGATCTGGTTTGCAGTCTGCCCCAGAATATGCAGAATTTCAGATCCAATCAAGCTCTGGCCTTTTGGATGGAAACCAGTCCCTGAACACCCTCTGTTAGCCTGAAATCCAAGAGAGGTCTCTCAAACTGAGTGCAGTGGTCAATCTTGGGCGTCAGCTTGGTTCAGCTGTGGTACCCAGTGACCTAATCAAACACCAGCCTAAGTGTGGCTCTGAGGATGGTTGTTCATGTTGTTAGCACCGACAACATGTTCTGGAGGGTAATGACCAGATCGGTTGAAGGGCTGAGGTTTCCTGGAAAAGGAATTCTGCCTCATGACAGCCGTGTCACCTCTATAGGTTTGGGACATTCCAGCCCCCACAATCAGATGAGCCAATTCCTGAAAATAAATCCCTTACTACCTGTGTCCTAGTGTTTCTACTTTTGCGGAGAAAACAAACCAGTAATCAACACTAATTCCCAGTGCCAGCACCATGGCTCATTTGGTTAATCCTCCACCTGCAGCGCTGGCATCCCATATGGGCGCCAGCTTCTAGTCCTGGTTGTTCCTCTTCCAGTCCATCTCTCTGCTGTGGCCCGGGAGGGCAGTAGAGGATGGCCCAAGTGCTTGGGCCCCTGCACTCGCATGGGAGACCAGGAGGAAGCACCTGGCTCCTGGCTTCAGATCGGCACAGTGCCGGCCATAGCAGCCATTTGGGGAGTGAATCATCGGAAAGAAAGACCTTTCTCTCTGTCTCTCTCTCTCATTGTCTATATTTCTACCTGTCAAATAAATTAAAAAAAAAACCTAATTCCCTTAACTGAGACTAAAAAGAAGAAACAAATCCCCTTGGCCACTTCTTTTTGAGGATGAGTATGGGGTGGGGAGAAGCGGGGGATTCTTTTAAGAACTAATTACACAGGGAAGTCAAAGTGGAAGCCAGGTTTTTCTAGATATCAGCTTGTGAGACCAGTGACACTGAGATGAAGACATTCTGTTTTCTCCTGCACTGCCTCTGAATTATCTTGAACAGTCTTCTATGGAGAGAGCCAGGGAGGAGGGGCCCCTGGGCACAGGAAGGAACCAGGTAAGTGAGCAGAGAGGTGAGCGTTAAAGGGCTGAGAAGGGGACGTGAAAGAGCTGCAGAAAAGGGGGTGGGAGAAGCTCGGAGCTGAGCTTCCTAAACTTGGCGAGATGTCAGGCCTTGAGCAATCTTGTGATGCTCTCCACTCCTCTGAACCAGGAGGAAACGAAGACTCGGTGGGGTGGGTAATACCAAGTCTGAGCCCAAGGCTGCAAAGGGGCAACTCCTTCCCCGTGCTTCCTGGGGCCAGCCAGACGCAGGGAGGACACCCGACACCTGCCCTGTGTGCTGGGAGGGGTGGGGTCTGCCCGGCTGCTCCTCAGCCCCCAAGGACAAGGCAAGCAGGCTACTCACATGATGTGTTTGGCCAAGTGAGGGGGAGCTAGCCGTTTCCTCTGAGAATGAGAACCTCAAAGTGCCGTGTTTGCAGAATCCAGCCTCAGCAGAAAGCAGAGGGCCAAAGAGGGCTCCTCCACAGCAACAACCAAGGTTTTTCTCATTTTCTCTGTTTTTTGAGGATTCTTTTTTCCTGTCTGGTCACACTGCTGCTTCTGTGGTCTGAGCCACCACATCTGCGACTGCCTAGTGACTGCCACCATTCCCCAGCTGCAGGCCTCCTTTGCTCTGCCCCCTACAGACACCCTCCCCCACCTCCACCACCCTAAAGCCTATTCAGGGCTGGCCTTCAAACCACTGCACCAGTCCTCTCTCAAAGATGTTTCTGCCCGTGGGGATAGCGGACCCACTAAAAGAGCAGCTCCTGCTCCGGTGTGGCAAAGCATCACCGCCGAGCTGCAGCAGGTGCGAGATTGAGGCCCTCTTGTCTTTCAGGAGGCTCTTCTTGCTGCAACATGTCTAGAACCCTGGAAGAAGCTCATTGGGGAAGAGAAAGGTACAGGCCACCCTGGGAAATGTAGTGTAAAGATCTCAAACTGGTTGGCTGACCTGAGGCAGACTGTCTTCCAGCTGCCAAAAGTGATAAGAATATTCTCCCTGCCTTCCTCACCAGAGCTTCCTGATGATAAGTGGCCCACTGCTTAGGAAAACACAGCGTGCTGTTGTGAGCATCTGTGCTATTGATGAGCCATTCCCCACTCTGAAGCCCTTGCTGCTTGCAACTCCATGCTGGCTAACTAGGTGGTTTTAACTAATTCTCTAAGGAAGAAAGAAAGAAGTGGGGGTGGGGGGAGAAAGGGGGGGAGGGAGAAAGAAAGAAAGAAAGAAAGAAAGAAAGAAAGAAAGAAAGAAAGAAAGAAAGAAAGAAAGAAAGAAAGAAAAGGAGGAAGAAAGAAAGAAAGAAAATGTTTTATCTGAGCTGAGTGCCACTCCTGAAATCTTTTTCCCCTCTTTAAATTGGAAACTATTCTCACCAAGCTGAGTAGTCTATTCACCAACAAGACTAAAATCAAAAGATCAAAAGGTGAATTTTCAGCCTGCTCTTCATGGGGCAAGCTGTGACCTCTGGGGATGGGGGAGGGGGAGGTTCAGGAGGTCAGGTGCTCTTTTCTTGTCCTACAATATATGGGGAATCTCACATCTGCACCCAGGTATGGATGTAACAGCCACTATGTGCATGCATGGATATATTTTTGCACAAACACAGGAAATAAGCTCATTAGTATCACCAAAGAGTCACTGAGCTCATTCAAAACTTTAGGTTCTGAAAAATATATCAGTAATATTTTCAGCTTACACTTTCTTGGGACTTAAGGGTATCTAATTCTTGGTGCTGATTTTGGGATAAAGAAACAGAGGTTTAGAAAGATCAGAATGCCTTGTCCAGGGGGCAGAGATTGCCACTGGTGGAACTGGAGGTGGAGGCCAGAGAGAAGAGTGTGAATGAAAGAAACCCCACCAAGCCCTGTTACCTGGTGGGCTGTGTGGTGTCTGCCGAGTTCTATGGAGAGCCTTGGAGTAGTGCTCCCTCCAACAGCCCCTCTCACGGGCTTCTCCTGGTCTCACTGCAAGAGCAGTGAGAGATGAAAAGGCTGTCAGCAAATTCTGTCTTCAGGGGTGGGGTGGGGTCGGCGGGGACCATGACCCCTGGAAATAGGAAAGGAACAGTGTATGTGGGTTTCCTCAAAAAGCCATCCTCAGAGGGTGACCTTGAAGCCCTCAGAGACAGCCAGAGAGAGGCTGTTTGTGAAACAGCAGTTGCATTTCCTGTCCCCATGACACCTCCGCAATGCTTTTGTATTAAAAAAAAAAATGGGTTACCATTAGTAGAAGAATGGAGAGCAGCAGAAGCCGATAGACATTAGGGGCATGGCTGTCTTTCACCTCTCTGCTCTGGAGAGAGTCTCTTATGTGAACTTCTAGCTGGCAGCGAGGCCTGAACCCAAGATGCCTTTCCCAGTTCTTCTGCACACGGAGCAGGCATCCTGTTTTGAGACGTTCTGTGCCTCCCTCCTATTTCTCTGCCACTGAGGAGTGGGGTGCAAGGCTCAGCGGGTTCCCCCACCCACATGGACTTGCAGACCCTGCTCAGAGGTATCAGGTGCCCGTGTGACTTACTGAAGTCTTGTGATGGAGATGAACACGGTCTTACCTGCCATAAGATACTCAGGCGGATGCTCATGTGTCCGGGGCACAGAGAAAGGACAGCGGAGCCCGAGCAGCCGCTTTCTGTTCATGGGAGGATGTGCAAACTGGCCACTGCAAGGTGGATCTTGATTCTGTCTTCAGTCACAGCCTGAGCAGCTGTCTAGGCTGAGACAAGATGGCCTTCTATTTTGATAAATTGAATGCATTTTCTCCTAGCCTGCCTGCTTGTACACTTGGTTGATTTTTGTCTGTTAAGTTATACAAATATTTCTTGTTGATTAGAAAAGACCCTTTATGTTCAGATGCCCAATAGTACCTACTCCATATTATGTTTGTTAACAATTCTTTTCTGCTTCTTTCCTTCTTTATTCAGAGTTTTATGGCTGAGTTTCCTCCTTTTCTTCCAGGGCTAATGTTGCATGGTTAGAGCTGGCCCTCAAAGCGGAAAGTGCTTCTAATTCCTTTTGAAAGAACTGTCAGCAATAAAGAAGTGGGCTGGTTGTTTTTTCTTACAGCTACAGAGGATTAAAAAAAAACAACAGTAACTATTATTCCTACACAATATTATTCTATTAGTCTGAAAAATGGTAGCTTTGGCCTATGAAAATAAACTTTCCTCTCCAAACTTACAATTATGGATTATATGGAATTAAGGATTGCTTTTCAATTTGATAATTTGTTTTCCTGATAGTGAGATGTAAATTGAAATCTGGTAATTCTAGCAGGTTTAAATATTTACCAGATTTCTTGGACAAATCCTAAAAGATTTCCTGACATGCACCTCTTCTAGCATAGACACGCAAATAACAAAATAAAACAAAACAAAGAAAAACAATCAAAGAGCATGAAATGCCTTCACCTCATTTATGTTCAGTGTGCTAAGTTAACTGGAATGAGCAACTTTTGCCCAATGTCTAGCAAATACTACCCCCTACTGTTCGTCTCTTGAGTTTGTTATAGTAAGGGATTTTTATTAAATTATAAAAAGGGAACAGACTTAATATATTGCATATACTTGGTTTTAAAAGTGTTGTACCTGAGCGAGTGCAAACAAAGGAGCTCCACACATTGATAAAATCTGATGGTCCTTTATTGCCGGCGGTGGAGAGTGGGCTCATGCCCTAAAGAACTCTCAACCCTGAAGCCCAAAGTAACAAGGTTTGTAAGGGCAAAAACCACAAAATTGGGAGGCGAATTCATGGTTGCTAGGAACAGAGGGGAATACATGGCTACCGGCTTCAAGCTGACCTAAAACCTATGCAAAACTAGTATCAATTATAATCTTGACAATACCAGTTACAATCTTAACAATTCCAATTATAAGCTTGACATTAATCCAGGTATTGGTTTTAATCATATGTAGGATATAGACAAATTACATTTTTATCATTAACCCAGGTGCAGCCTATCCACTTCCAAACTTGAGCGACCATGCTACAGGGTTTCTATGCTCTGCCAAGTGTGATGTAGTGGACTGCTATTGTCCAACTGTTTCAGATCATAGTTTCAGACCAGAGTCTCATGGTGGGGGGGGTGGGGGGGCACCTTCCCAGAATGGAGTCTCAAGTGCTCCAAAATGGAGTCCCTACTGTCAAGGTGCTACCTGCCCTAACTCTCTCCCTCACTCCCATCTTCATTCCTTCTTTTCTTATTTTTCTTTTAATATTTACAGTGACATACTTTCAATTTTCTTTATAATCACAAGCTTAACCCACCTCTGAATAGAGAATTCAGCAAGTAGTAAGTAGAAAAACCACTGTTCCTCAAGAGTACAAAAAGGGCTAGATTTCAGTCTGAAAATCTTAATGTTTTCTTAATCGCTTCCATCATTTTTAGAAAGTCTTCCTGGGTTGGCACTGTGGCATAGTAGGCTAAGCTTTTGTCTGTGGTGCCAGCACAGTTTGCCACCAGTTTGAATCCTGACTGCAACTCTTCCCATCCAGATCTCTGCTTATGGCCTGGGAAAGCAGTGGAAGATGACCCAAATGCTTGGATCTCTAAACCCACTTGGGATACCCGGAAGACACTCCTGGCTCCTGACTTCAGATCAGCCCAGCTTTGGCCATTGTGGTCATTTGGGGAGTGAACCAGCAGATGGAAGACTTCTCTCTCTGTCTCTCCCTCTCTCTGTAATTCTACCTCTCAAATAAACAAATAAAAACTCTTGTGCACCAACTCCCCATGTAGGACCTCTGGCCTTAATGTGTTGTACTATGTGAATTAACGGTAAAACTAGTACTCAAACAGTACTCTATACTTCTATGTCTTTGTGGGTGCAGTCTGTTGAAATCTTTACTTAGTATTACTAAGTTGATCTTCTTTATATAAAGATAATTGAAAATGAATCTTGATGAAGAATGGGATGAGAGAGGGAGTGGGAGAAGGGATGTTTGCGGGTGGGAGGGAGGTTATGGGGGGAAAAGCTGCTATAATCCAAAAGTTGTACTTTGGAAATTTTATATTTATTAAATGAAAGTTGAAAAAAGTCTTCATTTCTCACCCCATCATTTAAAAATGTATTGCTTATGTACATACAAACAAATGTGCACACTGATTCTTATAGGTTATTTATTTACAATTACCAAAATTTGGAATCAAGGAAGATATTATCCAATGACTGAACAGATAAATAAACTGTGGCACATCCAGATAAAACATTAATCAACACTAAAAAAAATGGACTAATCAGCCATGAAAAGATACTTAGGGGGAAAAGTTAAGTAGGAAACTTAAATGCTTGTTGCTAGAGGGGAGAAGCCAATGTGAGTTATGTACTGTGGGTTTCCAACCACAGATATCTGAGAAAGGCACAAGAATTATGACAGTAAAGTGATCAGATTGCCAGAGCTTCACAATATACGGAACACAGGGGATTTATAGGGCATTAACAACTGTGTATGACACCCTACTGGTAGTCATTTGTTATTACATATGGGTCAAAATCCATAGGATGTACAATCCCAAGACTGAGCCCTAATGCAAACTGATGACTTGAGTTAATGATAATATATCAATATTGGCTCCTCAATTAGAGCAAATGCACCATGTCAATACAAGACGTTACTAACAGGGAGAACTGGAGGGACAAAGGGATGAAGAGCATATAGGAACTCAAATGTTCCATAAACCTAAAACTGCTTTTAAAAACAAAGTCTATCGTGTAGGCTAACAGTTAAGACACCCACACCCCACATTGGATTATCTGGGTTCAACTCCCGGCTCCACCTCCTGATTCCAGATTTCTGGCAATGCAGACTCCGAGAGACAATCATGATGACGTAAGTGCATTTCTGCCACTCATGTGGGGACAGGAACTGCATTCCTGGATCCTGGCTTAAGCTCCAGCCCAGTCATTGTAAGCACTTGGTGAGTGAATCAGTGGATGGCAGCTCTCTCTCTCTCTCTCTCTCTCTCTCGCTCTCGCTCTCTCTCCCCCCCTCTCTCTGTCTCTTTCTCCCGCCCTTCTTCCCTCCCTCCTCCCATGTTTCCCTCCCTCATACTCAAATAGATAAGTAAGTCCTATTAGTCTTCAAGGGGGATATGAAAGAAGATGAAGTGGGGAAGGCCTGAATGAAAGGTGTTGGGATACAAAAGGAGGAGGTGAGACTGGATGAGAAGAGGAGGCAGTGGGGAAGAGAAGGAGCTGGAGGAGCAGCAGGGTCATGTTTGTCAGAGGCTAAGAGACCTCAACAACACAACGGGGAGACAGACAAGATAACTAAGTTTCCATCAGAAAAAGAATACATGAAAAATATCAAAATGTGAAGTGAATTTTAAATAATTATTAAAGCCATACACTAATAGACAATGCTGAGAATCTTTTCCACCCTACTCTGTATAATGTTCATGTCTCAGACAACATTTCTATTCCTTTGTTATTCACCTAACAAAATATTCTTTATCTGGTTATTTGGGTGTTTATTTTAAAACTACCTCTGGCTTCTATATATCTCTCACTTAACTTCTAGATAGATTTTATAGGTATATAATACAAAATATTGAAATAGATATAATAATGATATAATGACAATATAATTGCAAGGAAGTACCACATTTGAATTGGATGACATTGTTTAGTAATGCACTTTGATTAATTAAAAATATATATTATACCTACTCTGCTAAAGACTACAATTTTTTAAAAGATGTAAATAATATACCAGTAGAAATAATAAAAGAAAATCATAAAAATGCTCAATTAACCCAAGACAAGGCAGAAAAAGAGAAGATATAAACCAATAAGAGATTAATTAAATTAAAAACCAGCTAGCAACATGGTAGATTTTAATTCAACTACATCAGTAAACATATTAAACCTGAAATATTGAAATATATCAGTTAAAAGACAGAGATTGTCAGATAGGACAAAAAATAAAATCTATTAGTATGCTGCCTGGTGAAAAATCACTTTAAAAATAAGAAGGTAAATGAGTTAAAATATCTTAAATGATAAAAATATATACCATTGAATAAAATGCAAAGGAAAGCTGGAGTCACTATACTTACATTAGAAAAAAGAAACTTCAGAACAAGGAGCATC